AGGCAAGCTGGAGCCTGGAGCCTCGGTGTGGGGAGGCCTGAAGGCCATGAGGAATGGGGAGGGTGCAGGACCTTCTATTGGCCAGAAAAATCAGGGCAGAATTTTGTTTTGTTTTGTTTTTGTATTTTATTAAGATGAATTTGGTAAATAAGCCAGCATGGGAAACAAGGACCTACTTTTCAAAGGATAACTTCTACAGTCTCCCCCCAGTTTCAACTCGTCACCAGTCTCCTGAAGAAGGGAGCCAAGTACCACCACGAAGCTCGTGACTCTTGCTCTTTCTACTCGGGTCTCTGCACTTCTGTCTACGGTCTGGGCTGAGGGAGGCGGAGTACGAGGTGGGGGAAGGAAGGAGGAGTGTGGAGGCTTCAGGCACTCCCTTCTGCACTTCCTTTCTCTGCAGTTATTGCTTGAGTTCCTGCCTCCCCGCTTATACCTCAACCTTCACCAGAGCAAAGCACAGGAGGCCCTCTAGGCCCGGAAGCCCCTCGGGGCCTCAGAGTGCAGCTTCTCAGCCTCCTCTCCCCGTGGCCACTGCCAAAGAACGAGCCCTAGGGAGCATTGCCCAGGTGGGCTGAATCCTCTTACAGACATTACCTTTGCCCAAATATTCTTGAGAGTTCTTTAGATCAGAAAGTCAGTGTCATTCTTCAGACTTGCTCTGAAGCCTTTGACCCTTCTCAAGGGCAAATCGACGCTCAAGGAACAAGATCTGCCCTGACTTTTTCTAAGACCCAAGGACGTTATGGCAACTCGGGTTTCGAACGTGGTTGAAGTGTAACTGTGACAGAGTCCCCGGTGCTGGCACTGATTTTGTGCTTCTTTTGATTCTAGCCCACGCCCTTTGTCATAGTTGTGACTTGTCTGTCTACTCCACTAAAAACATCCCTTTCAGTAACAATTTATGAAAGATTCAGTGCTATCGAAATGTGAAGGATTATCTTAGAGAAGAAACTATCTAGTGTTGGGTTTTAATTAACATTTTGGTTTTTAAAAATCTGTAACTTATGAGTTTGGGGCTTAGTTTTACAATATTTTAAAACTGAGATAGTCTCTCTGACTCCCATACAAATGCAAATGTATACTAAAAGTTAAATTTTGGCATATTAGGGAAAGTGGAAGTCATCAAGTTATCCCACTCCCTGAGATATCACTGTCAAACCTTTGGTGAGGAATCTTCTAGGTTTTCCCCTATGTAAAACATGTATTATGTAAGTGGGATTAGTGGCGTCGTAATGCAGCTTGTTCTTAATCTTTGACAAAGTTGAACAGTGTGTTGGGCACACCTTTTTATAGCAATACATTAACATCTACCCTATGCCTTTTATTAGCTGCAAAGAATTTTATCACATGCCCTTTCTTTGGGGACGATGGAGATGTCCTGCCTCTTCACTGTGGTAGTGGTGACAGGGTGTGTACACTTGCCAGAACTCAACCAGCTGTGCATTCCAAATAGATGCGTTATATTGTATGTAAGTATGCCCCAAAGAAGTTGGTTTTAAAAACGTTATCCTCTTTGAAATTTGTACTTTGGTTATGTAAAAACGACAAAACACCTTGTTCTTGTTGCTGAGAGACACCCTAACACATCTGGAGGTAAAGTGTCCTGATCTGCAACTTTCTCTCAAATGGTCCCGCAATAACAACAATAAGCATCTATTTACGCATTCAGAGAGGGATCAGACAGCTGAAGTCAAATGTTAACAAATGACAAAACTAGACAGAGGGGGATAATAATGGTTAGAAATAAAAATACTACATCTTTTGAAATTTATTTCCCCTTTAGCTTTTTGCTTCGTTTTTTGCCCTATCCTCTTTTCTTCAACACTTTCCCCCTTCCCTTCCTCTTTTCCCCATTCTCTCCTTTGCATCTTATCTCCTGCGTAATGGAGCCCAGTAATCAACACTCGTGACTATGTCCACCTGCAGAGGTCAGGTACAGAGACGCGAGTGGGCTCCCGCCTGGGCAGGTTGTAAGCGGCAAAGCGCTACCGGCTTGGTGAAAGCTGATTCAGTCAGGATCTTCCCGCAGCGGGGACTTTCCTTCCCGGGGTGACCAGAGGCTGTAGGAAGGGTTTTCCGTTGTTAGAAGCCAAGGTCGGGGCCCCGTGGGGGAGGGGGCCGGAAGCAGCATTTCCCTACTCACGGGCCTCAGAATCAACCAAGATGCTGTTTATAATAAGTCAGATTCCAGATCCCTTTCCAGACTCAGGGACTCAGAATTTCCGCGGACCCGGGCAGGTCTGCGTTTTCACCACCGGTAGGTGTAACTGCCCAGGAGTATGGGAACCAGAAACCTAAGTGCAGCTCGGTCGCCTCCCACTTTACCCATAAGCACCTTTACTCTGCTTTTATAACAATGAGCAACTCTTATTTCCTTTAGGCCAGGGTAGGGGGGATGGGTGATCATCACCCTCCCTGTAAACTCTGGGCCAGCCCACTGGAAAATGAGCCCAGGCCGCCCAGCGAAGCCCCGCCTTGGGTTATGTAAGCCTGTTTTTCGGTTTCTTTTCCAGACCCAGCAGTGGCCCCTGAGGTCTGCGCGAGGAAGGCGCCCCTACGCTTGTGAGTCAGGGGTCCAAAGGCAGGATTGGAAGGAGAAAAAGTACTTTATGAGGAGGATGGGAAGGGGGCTGGAAGCAAGGTGGGTTGGAGGGGAAAGGGATTTATACAGAAGACAACCTCAGAGGCCTGGTGGGGGAGGGGCAGCCATGCCTAGATCCTGGGGAGCACCCCAAATCCAGAGCCCTAACCATCAAGGCCTCTCCGACCCCTCAGGAAGAGTGAGAATGGCTTTATCTCTCATTGCAATAATTCCTAAGTGCATTGGAACAAACTTAGCATATATATTTTTTTATTTTAAAGTATTAAATGTGTTTTTTTGAGGGAGGGATGAGCTGAATGAGACAGTTTGCTGGAGCTGCCAACCCTCCTCAAGGAGGGTTGACATCATGGAGGGAAGGGCTTGGGACCAGCTGTTGGGAGAGCTGGGTTCCATCTGCGTCTCTACACTCTCACTCCCCTTGTGACCTTTAGCAATGACAAGAATCTCTCTGAGATGGGACAGGACCCATTCCCTGTCGTGCTAAATAAATTGTGATGGTCAAAGTAATTAATTAATAAAAATGGATGTGAAATCTAAGAAATTGTTAAAACTTTCTGATGCATGATATTTCCATCCACAAAAAAAGTGTGGGATAGGGGACTAGTGGAATGGTTAGTAATGATGGGTATATTTCAACTTTAAAAAAGCATTTTCAGGGGAGACAAAGGTGAAATAAACTCTGTTCCTGTTCCTGGAGTGGCTCCTTGTCTATTGGGGGAAGGATAAGTTGGTAAGATGGAGTTTAAGGCAGGGCACGCTTGGTACCATCATGGAGGTTCAAACCATGGCCTAGACCAGTGGTTCTAAAACTTCCCTACACATTGGATTCACCCAGGGAGCTTTAAAAGATATGAAGGTCTAGGTCCAACCCAAGGGATACTGATTCAATTAGTTTGGGCTGTGACCTGGCCATATGAATAGTAAAAACTCTCCGGGTGGATCTAATAAGCAGCCAAGATTGAGGACCATGGGCGAGATGTTCCCAAGACCAAGAGATGTGTGTTGGGGATCACGCACAGCTTTCAGTAGAAGGAGTGTTTCAGGATGGCATTATTGTTAATATTAATATTATTATTGAGATATAGTGCATATATCACATAATTCACCCTTTTAAAGTGTACAAGTAGGTGGATTTTAGTATAATCCTGAGGTTGTGCCACCATCACCACCATCTAATTGGGATGATCTTTTAGGATGTGCAGGTCTCATGGGTTGGAAGGCAGAGGTGAGAGTAATCCAGAGGAGGGAGATGCTTAAGCAGTGGCATCCTGGTGGGACATGGTAAGGAGATGGGAGGAATCCACTTTTACTGCAATCCAGGGGACATGTCACAGAGAAATGAGGGTGATGCCAGACAGCGGGTTGTGGCAGCTGTGGGCTTTGATGGTGGAGTAGAGGCGTCATGTGTTAAATTCAGCAGAGGGGGCAGCTGTGGATGGTGTGGGGCCTTATGGTTATAACTGGGGGCAGGCACGGTGTTCAGGAAGCCTTTGCAGTTTCCTAGGCTGAGGTAGATGAAAGCCTGGACTAAGGTAGTGGCTGTGGGATTGAAAAGGGGTTAAAAGAGCTGACTTTGAGTCCATGAGGCAGAGGAAAGGGGGATCAGAAGGGACCAAGGATGGTGATACTAAGAGCACTAATGGAAGGGGAGACGCTGATGTGGTGAGGGATGTGCAGTTTCCTTGTAGACCTGTTGGATTTGAGGGGCAGGTGGGTCCAGAGGTGCAGATGTCCTGAGGCAGGTTGGAAAGGGGAGTCTGGAGAGAGGTTGGTGTTGGAGTGGAAGGTGGGAAGCTGGCCCATTGGGCTTGTGATCCCCCAGGGACTGAATAGAGAGGCCGCCCTGGGAGAGCTGACAGTTTTGGATGTGCACACAGGAACGGGAACCTGGCTGGATCTGGAGTCCTTGGGAGGAGGAGGCGGAGATTGTAATGGCTGCAAGATCTAAGAGAGTTTGGAATGTGAGTGGTTCAGCTGGGAAAGTTGCTTCTAAGAGGCAGCAGTGGCTAAAATCTGCAAATCTGGTTCTGGTGATGTTGCCACAATGCTGTGCTTGGTTAGGGAGGGAGGTGTGTGTGGGAGAGAAGGTTGCTCTGGAAGGAAGAAGTCAGAGAAAGGCCAGCTTGTTGCTCTTCAGTCTTAGAGCTTTTTATTTGGCTTTGTGATCAGACTCAGTGCAGCCACTGAGGATTTTCTATGCTCTTGGTTTGTCTCTTCTTGGCTTTGAGTCAGGGGACTTTTCTGGTAACAAGCAGAGCCCTCCCTCTGCTCATGATCGGAAGGTCTGTTCTCTCAGATGAGCGGGGTGGGCCAGATGGTTTAGTTCATAATTTTCTGCCAGCAGTTCTCAACTGCTCAAGCAAGCCTTGACTGGGAGGCTGGCAAAATTGCCACCATGTGGCTGTGCCATGTCCTGCTGCTCCTGGCCAGTGCTTCCCTTTTTGCCCACCTGGGTACCACTGCTGGTAAGTGGGGCTCATTGTGGTCCTTGGCCAGGCAGGAACCTGGGCTGATGCAGGGGTCCTGGAGGGTTTTGGTGAGTGTCTATAAGTAATGGTGACAGTGTCTGTGGTGGGGGCTGGGATGCGGGGGCTGGACACAGCCTGTTGCCACCCCAACTCAACCTTGCTTTTCCAATCTCTTTCCAGTTCGCTCCCCCCCACCCCCGATGTTCTGCTCTTCTTGCTTTCCTCTTCCTGTTCTGACATTTTAGTCCTTCTGATGCCCCTGGGCCCTGGGCTGCCTCTGGGGTTGGGGCTTTGAAGGGCATTCAAGGGCCCTTGGAGGTCTGAGGCTCAGGCAACACTTCCCACCAGATTGTAGGGCACCCTCTCAGGCACCTGAGCACTGTGCTATCTGCTCCTATCCCAACTCCTCCCTTGGGTGACAAGGGAGTACAGGCAGGCAGCTCTCAAGGGCCTCAGTCCTAGGAGTTAGGGGCCTTTTTCTAGTGACCAGGAGCTCTGTGGGGAGCCCAGGCTCTAACCACACTTCCTCCTGCTGTGGGCACTGTGGCCACTCCTGACTCTCACAGTGAGGGAGGGTAGAGTCTGAAGGCTTCTGGCCAAGGGATTCATCCTGTGACCTCTCTTGGTCTCCACTCTCCTCCTCCCCTCTCACTCCCTCTTCCCAATGTTATCTCTAATTTTCTGAAATGCCAGAGTTCCCACACCAGATTCTCTCCTCACCTCCTCCCCTGCTGTCTCATGTGCCCCTTTAGTCCTTTGACTTCTCCCCCGCTATCCCCTCCTCTCTACAGTTCTCTGACCCCTCTCTAGTGTGTCCTTACCCTCCACTCCTTCTACCACCACAGGTTCCTCTTTCTCCCCTCATGAGTCATTGCCTACAAGGAGCTTCGACCTGCATGGCTCCTACCTCCCCCCAGCTTTCCTGAACCCTAACTTTCTGGTTGTGTCTTTTGTCCAGGTGGTCTTCCCTCCATCCCCACTCCCCTCTCACTCTCACCAAGGGGAGCCCTGAAGCACAGTGCACACCCCCTTGTGCAGAGACCTGTCCCCTGTCTGGGTGCCCAGTCCTCCTCCCTCCCCTCCAGTGCAGGCTCCTGCTCTTGGTCCTCCTGCATCATGGACCTTTCACCCAGCACCACCCCTCCCCACTCCAGCATCCCACACCTCACCTTCTTGAGGCCTCCACTCTCCAGCCCACAGGTGCAGGACTCTCTCTCTCCCTGTTCCCTCTGCACCCCTCCTGCCATGGCACCTTGCCCTGCTCCCACCCCTTGCCCAGCTGTCTGGGGCCCTCACCAAGTTTTCATCTCTCATGAGCCCCCTCTGGTGGGGACCTTGCAATTACCACCCCACCCTCACCCAGAGCACCCCTCCTCTCTTAAGTTATCCCAGGGTCACCCCTGTGCCATGCTTATCCCCAGCCCCCGAGTCCCAGGCCCTCAGCATGATCTTCTCTGCTGCCTCTAGTCCCTTCAATCTTTCCACCCCTTGCAGAACTGCAAACTGCTCTTGGTCCAACTACTCCTTGGCTTTCACTGGACTCCCCACCACCCCACGGTTCCTTCATCCCACTGGCCTCTCACTCCCTACACTGTGTATCCAAAATCCTTGTTTATGACACTTGATTGGCTCTGGCCTTTCCCTACAGTGGGCCTTCTCCCAGTACTGCCCCTCCTGTGCTGGAGGTCTAACCCCACCCTCTGTGGAAGTATGACCTGCCCCCCACACTGAACCACTCCCACCATGTGGGTCCTTCCCCAGGCCGTGCACCTTGGCATTTAAGTTCTATTTTCTCTTCCATTCCTCCTGCTCGTTTCTAACTCTAAACTACCCTTGGAAATGCTGCACTGACTCTTTGAGATCCCACCACCCACCTCTCCACAGGGGACACTGGCAAGTCCATCCATCTCCCCACCTGGGTTCTCGCCATGCCTCTTCCACTCTGGGCCCAGACTCACACTTTCACCTCCTCCAGGGGTACTGGCCTACCCTAAAATCCCTTGTGTCACAATGCACCACCCCTAACGCCCCTCCGCCTCACTGCCACACCCTCCCTCAGCCCTACCTTGTCCATGATGAGCCTTCACCAGAGGGAGCAGCCCCTCGCTCCCCATCTCACCCTAACCCGCCTTTGCACCACAGTCAACCTGACCATGGATCCCTCCCATCCTGGGCCGCTCACGTCCCCTCACTGCCCACTGAAGAGACCACCCCTTCACCATGGCCTTCTTGCCTCTCCCTTGCCCCCTGCAGGCCAGCCTCTCCCCTTGACCTCCTACCTCTTCCCTTAGGGAGCCCGTGCCTCCCTCTCTGGCTTCTATCCTACATCTTTGCCCTTCACTATCCCCCTCCTTCCGTTCCTCAATTCCTCTCTCCTCCTTTCCCCTTTCTTACTTTCCTGTGTTGAAAATCTCACTCTTGTCCCTTTGCACACCTGCATTTTCTGCATCCTCAAGACTCAGGACAGCAGAACTTTTCTGTGAAACATCTGATGTGCAGTTATTTCCAGGAAACACTTTCATCTGGTCTCCTCCTTGCCCAGGGTCCCACAGTCTTCGTTATGACCTCACGGTGGTATCCCAGGATGGATTTGTCCAATCAAGACTTTTCGCTGAGGGGCACTTGGATGGTCAGCCCTTCCTGCACTACAACAGTGAGAAAGGCAGGGCAGAGCCCCAGGGGCTGTGGGCAGAAGCGGTCCTGGGAGCGGAGACGTGGGACACAGAGACCAAGGACTTGACAGAGAAGGGGAAGGACCTCAGAAAGACCCTGGCAGACATCATGGCTCTGCAGGACCAGAAAGGAGGTGAGAGTGGGGAGGAGACACAACTGATGTGAGGCCTTTTCCAGGAAAGTTTGGGGAAGACAACAAGGACCTGTGTCTTTACACTGGATTTGGCTGTGGGTGGGGGTGAACAATGGGGCCTGTGGAGTTCAGCACGGAGGTGGCCATTACTCAGCCAGCACAGGAAGACATGGAGGAGAGAAAGGAGGGGCCCACTAGCTTTAGTTTCTCACTTGAGCAGGGAAGGCAGAGGGACATAGGGAATGGAGAAGTCACTGCTGGCTGCGGGGCAGGCTTGCATTCCCTCCAGGAGATTCGGGGCTGCGAGATCCAAGAAGACGACAGCACCAGGGGCTTGAGACATTTCTACTATGATGGGGAGCTCTTCCTCTCCTATAACCCCAAGACCCGTGGATGGCTAGTGCCCCAGTCCTCTGCTCAGACCCTGGCTATGGAGACCAAGAAGTCCTGGGACGCAGATGGCTTTCAAAGCAAGGATTACTGGGCCCATGTGCAGGGAGAGCTTTGTGAAAGACTGTGGAGATATCTGGAATCCTGGATGGGCTTCACGGAGAGAATAGGTATGACCCTGGGGTAGGGCCTTCCTCTCCCGCAGGACCCTGGAGCCTCCCCACCCAAGTCTGCCCAAGGAAACCCTCCCTGTACTATGGGATGCATACATGTTGTATTGGCTCGTTGTGTTGTGATTTGCCTGTTCTGTTAAAGCCACTGGATAAAGACACCACACAGGTGGGGAGGGGAATGAACTATCCCAGTGTCCATAATGGGGAAGCAGTGGGTCCTCAGACAGAACACTGAACCTAGAAATGTGGGTGTCCGTCACGAGAGGAAGCCTCAGACTGGGGGGCTGTGCCCCCTGGTTCCCAGTCTGCCTCTTATGGAGAGCCCACCCTTCACATCCCCCTATTCAGCGTCAGCACTTGGATCCAAGAGAGTGAGGCCTAAATCCCCCTCATCCTCCTGCCAGTCTAAAGGAATTGGGCCCCAGGATGCAGAACAGACTTGAAGGAATTCTGGGGTCAATGAGGGCTTCAGCCAGAGGGAAAGGTGGGGAGGGGCAGCCCTGTTCTCTCCGTCTCTCTTAGGAGGGAGCAGAGCTTGGCCACCAGACTCACTGGCTTGGTGCTTTCTTCCCCAGTGCCCCCAGCAGTGAATGTGACCTGCAACCAGGCCGCGGAGGGCGTGGTCACCCTGATATGCTGGGCTTTTGGCTTCTCTCCCGGGAACATCACATTGACCTGGCTTCAGAATGAAGAACCCCTGAGACACGGCGCCCAGCAGTCTGGGGGTGTCCTGCCTGATGGGAATGGGACCTACCAGACCTGGGTGGCCATAAGGATTCCCCAAGGAGAGGAGCAGAGGTTCACGTGCTACGTGGAACACAGTGGGAACCACAGCACATACCCTGTTCCACTCGGTGAGCCTGGGGTGTTCCTGGAGGGGGTTCCAACCTCGGTAGGATCAAAGGCCATGAGAGGAGAGCAGGCCTGTGGCTCTGGGTGCCAGGTTATAATAAGGCTGTTTTTCAGGAAAGGCCCTGGTGCATCAGAGTGGATGGCCAGCCATTCTAGGTGTTGTTGGTGTTATTAGTTCCATTACTCTGTTTGCCCTTTGGTACAAGAAGAATAAGAAGACAACATCGGCTGCAGAGAGCCCAGGTGAGAAATCTGGGTAGTGAGTGGACATGGGAGGGGCTCTGCCTAGGATGTAGGAACCCTCTTATCTCCCTCTGCACAAATAGGAGTGGAGATGACCAGCCTCTGTAATGGGAGCTGCAAGTTGGGGTACTTGTGAGGAGAATCGGAGCCACCTCTGTGTCTATACCTTTTAGCCCTGCCCACAACCAGGGCCAGGTTGGGGCCCTTGAGTGTGCAGCTGTGGCCTCTCCTTGCTCTTGGTAAGGATTGTGCAGCAAGGAGGACCATGGCTCTCTGCTCTGTTCTCATCCCTATGTCTCTGTAACTCAGGCTTGCCAGCTCATCCATGGGCGATGTGGTGGTATCATGTGCTGATTGGGGAGGGCCTGGGTGATCATGGAATCTGAGGGAACAAGCAGTAAAAGCGTCTGTGACCTAGTGGAAGGGTTACACACTGGGGAGGCATATGGACAGAGAGAGGACGCCTCTAGTTCTTTCCTGTCTGTACCCCCTCCTGCAAGTTCTCCAGCCACCATGAGAAATCCAAGTAGAAGACTCACAAGGCCCAAACTAAGGGTCTCTGATACTGCCAGAGCCCTGCCTATGATGTCCCATTGGGAGTCCCCACTTACAACAGACAGAAGGGTCCTGAGCAGAGGTGGTGGTCTTCAGTCCATTTTCAGACCCTCAAATTGCTCCTCCAAGAACTGTTTCCCGAGTTTTCTTGGGGTCACTCCCAGCCTCTACTCTTTCCCTGTTCCCATCACGTGCCCCCATGCATCCTGGAGTTTCCTTGCAGATAATATGGAAGAGCAGATGAGCAGATCACCCTTGACCCTTTAGGGAGAGGGGACAGCTCATTCTCGGGGCAGCTGTGGTCACTGTTTGTATCCACGTCCAGGTTTTCCCTGCCCAGCCCCTCGGGGCCCGGTCCAAGGGGCCATTTGGAGCAGGCACCTGGCTGTGCTCCCGGCCTTACGGGGCCCTCCCTGAGCCGGTTCCCTTCCTCATGGTGGTCACTGCCCTGTAGGTTTTGAGGAAGGGATGGTCAAAATGATTTCCCCACAATCAGTGTGCTTGAGGGGAGAGGAAAGGGGAACAGGGAGTTTTGTGTTTGGACAATGAACAAAGGCAGTGCATGAAAGAGTGAAGGGGGTGAGGGGTGCAGGCACTGGGGTCTTTTGTTCCCACCACTTCTGTGTGACCAGGGGGTGGAGGCCGCATTTCTCACCCTTGAATGTAATTTCATTACACTTGGCCCTCAGTCTTGAGCAGACTGGAAGAGTTTGTCATCCTGCCCCACAGCAGGGGCTCCGTCCATGTCACACCCAGAGCAGGGGCCCCCGCGAGTCTGTGTTTGCTCCTGGCCTCACCTGGGCAGCCCCCCGAGAGGGCACAGCAGTTCTGGTTCCCTTGGGGCAGAAATGGTTGCCTCCTATGTCATTGGGGCATTAGCCAAGATAAGAGTGTGAAAATCATAAGCTCATTTCTCAATATTTTTAGTTTAAATTTTGATGTCCAAAATAAATGTTTATGGTTTCAGCTGGCTAACTTTAATGGGATGTCCTCCAATGCTGACCTTGCAATGCATATAGAATGAAACAGAAATTCAACTGGAGAGCTCCGTGTCTAGGAGGGTTCTATGAGGGAAGGGGGTGTGGTGGCAGTGGTGGTCCCAGGTGCAGAGATGGGCAGACATAGCCTCAGGCTGAAGGGTCTCAAGAACCCCCAACTCCACATTGAGAAGCAGATTTCCTATAGGCTGTGATGGCAGAGCCTCGTTGAGGAGGCAGGAAGGCCGGGGCAGCCTCAGGCTCAGAGCAGCACTCGGGGTGGAGGTGCCATTCCAGGAGCCATTGGGCCAGAAGGAGTAAAGAAGGCCAAGTGCAGCCTGAGAGCCTGGGCCGGGTGTGAGGGTCAAGGCAAGGCTGGGCCTCTGCGAGCATGGGGTCCTCCAGGGTCAGGTCAGGTCCAGACCCCACAGCAGCCCAGTTTTTCTGGGCTGGGCCTGCTGGTCACCTGAGCTTCCTGATGGGTCTTCCAGTTCAGAGCTGCTGGCTCAGGGCAGGAGGCTGAGCTGCAGGGGGAGGTCAGTGCCTGTGGTTGAGTGGGGCCAGTGGAGCAGACCCCGGCCCTGTGGGCAGGTGCTTGTGCAGGTGAGGAGGCTGAGAAGTAAGGAGAGGAGGAGCTGTGTGTGACCCCTCCCAGGCCTGGAGGACCAAGGAGCAGGGGCGTGTCTTTCAGGGAGGCCTCCCACTGTGTTGGGGGATTGGTGGGGGCTGAGAGGAGGGGAAGGCAGTGGGTTTCCAGTCCTGGATGGTGTCCTTTAGCCCTCTGGCCCTTCCTTGTTCCTGCATGCTGGGTGGTGGAAGCAGTGACAGGTGATGATGCTAATGGGGACTTGGGAGGAGACCAGCAAGGGCTGGGAAATGTGGGGTGAGAGGGAGAAAAGTGGGGGTGCCATCTTGCTATCTTCCCTCAGAGAAAGGTAGAATCTGATTCTGGGGCAACTGAAGAATTCCTGAGGGAATAAAAACAGTATTCTGCAACCAATTTATCATTTATTGGCTTCTCTTTCCCCCAGAGCTTCTTAGCGTACAAGACCTGGATCACCGCCAGATGCCACCAACAGACCTGAATGACACCAGCCAGCTGGGATTTCAGTCTCTGTTGTCAGCCCCTGAGTCCATTGATTCAACTGAGGGAGCATAGAGTCTGCAGCCAGGAGGCCTGAATTCAGCTCCCTGCTCTGGTCTTACTAGCACTTTCCCTCTTGGTGCCTCAGTTTTCTCATCTATGAAATGCGGGAAATAACAGTATTTATTTCCAGTTGTGGTTGCAGGATCAAAAGTGTTAATATATTTAAGGTCCTTGCAGCTCATCACATTGTTTGTCAATATTTTTGTTAATTTATGTTTTACTATATTACCTGCATAGTAATTATATTGTGGTCAGCAAGCATTATGTGTAAGCTCTTTTGTTATGGTTCCTGCTGAGGAATCTTATACCAGCTTTCCTGGCACCTGGAGGTCCCCTTCACCCCTCATCACACTCGTATATGCCTTACTTCATAGCTACCACATCTGTACAATTTCCTATTGTAAGTGTTTAAATGCTCTTTCAACATACATATCTGGTCTGTGTTTTACTTCACGTGCCTGGGAAGGGACAGAATGTGAGGTTCTGGGGAGAGGGGGAGGTATATCTCGACGCCTTGACGCAGCACTAAAAAATCTCCACCTTCCTCTCCCCCAAGCTCCCAGTGAGTGACAGGTTCACAGTAAAGTTTAAAGGGCTGGGAGAAGATGGGATGGGACATCTGGGGCCAATGTTCAGGGGTGACCCTGTGGGGGGAAAATCTGCCTGAACAGTTGACACCCTCATGATGAAGCAGAGCTGAAGCGTGATGTCAGGGGAGGGGGATGGGGACAGTGCTTTGGGGTTTCCTGATTATGAAGATTAGGGGTCAGTCTACTTCTGGGGTAAAGTGACTGCTGGCATACTTGGACTGGGTTGATGAGTCAAACGAACACAGAATGTGGGTGAATAAATCAAGCATCAGCATCTCCCTCCATCAGTTCAGGCTGATTTGTGCAAGGCAGGTGGGGAGGTGAGATATTCCCCACCTGATGCTCTGCCCTCCTGACTGCTGGTCTTGGGGCACACAGATGGGTGGTGTCTCATAGAAAAAGAGATCAGAATTGTGGTTTCCAGAGGCGGGAGGTGGGGAGTAGGGGAATTGGATGAAGGTGGTCAAAAGGCACAAACTTCCAGTTATAAGAGACTCGGCACTGGGGATGTAACGCACAACACGATGACTGTAGTTAACACTGCTGGAGGGCATGTTTACAAGTTGCTGAGAGAGTAGATCCTAAGAGTTCTCGTCACCAGGAAAAGAACATTTTTGTCTTTTGTTTGGCTCTAGATGAGATGATGAATGTTAACTAAACTTATTGTGGCAATTATTTCACTATATATGTAAGGCAAGTCATTGTGCTGTACACCTTAAACTGACATAGTGCTATAGGTCAACTCTATCTCAATAAAACTGGAAAAAAAGAAATTTCTTCTTATTTCTATTGCGTTTTTTGCCATTTTCTGATTTGTTGAATTCCTAAACCCACTTGGTATTTTTAAGTAGAGTTAAGGTAAGCGCTTCAGCAGATTACATGTTTTGGTATAGTTCTACTTGTTTACTTTGCTTTTGTTCCCTTTGCTTTTGGTGTTAAATGCAAAAAATCATCACCAAGACTGAGGTGAAGGACATAACCAACTATGTTTTCTTCTAGGAGTTGCATGGTTTCAGGACTTACATTCAAGTCTTTAATCCATTTTGAGTTGGTTTTGTGTATGGTATAAAATAGTGGTCCAGTTTCATTCTTTTGCATGTTGCTGTCTAATTTTCCCAATACCATTTATTGAAGACAGTTTCCTTTCCCCATTGTATATTCTTGGCTCCTTTGTCATAAATTAATTGACCATATACACATGGATTTTTTTCTGGGCTCTCTATTCTGTTCCATTGATCTGTGTGTCTGTTTTTATGCCAATCTCATACTGTTTTGATTATTATAGCTTTGTAATATAGTTTGAAATCAAGGAGTGTGATGCCTCCAGCTTTGTTCTTTCTCAATATTGCTTCGACTATTTGTAGTCTTGTGGTTCCACACAAATATTAGAGTTGTTTGTTTTATTTCTGTGAAAAACGCTATTGGAATTTTGATAGCAATTGGGTTGAATCTGTAGATTGCTTTGGGTAATATGGACATTTTAACAATTTTAATTCTTCCAAACCGTGAGCATGGAATATCTTTCCATTTATCTGGGTCTTGAGGTTCCTGAATAACTGGTTAATATTGCACCTTTCCCAGGTGCGCTTGATCCTCAGAGCCGTGGTTTGCACCACTGTCCAGGTTTGTAAGCCCTCCTTTGGGAAGATGAAGTCCCGACCATCTTAGGTGGACTGAACGTATCCCTGAGGAAACTCCCGTCTGGCATCACATCTCAGTCACACAGCATCGGCAAGGTGTGGGACCCC